CACGCCACGCCATGGCAGAGAATTCTGGAAGGAGAGGCAACCCACATTTGCCTCTGCACTGCCATGGGGTGCCCCCTCGCCGCCAGTGCCCCCGGTGCAGCGAGCCGGGGCCGAGGGTCCCCATGGGCAGGGTCCAGCTGCCTTCAGCGGACCACGGGGCAGGGACACAGCCAAGGGGCCCGGGCCAGGCTAGCTGGGGGCAGGAGCAAGGGGCAGAGCTCGGGGACCAGCTGCAAGAATACGCCTCCCCTCGGCGGGCTCTCACTGGCCCCAGCCCGGGTATGATCTGGGCAGGGAGATTCCCTGCTGGGTTTTGCATCAGGCCCCCGGTCCCCGTGGCGGCACCTGCGCTGAGGTGTCCTTTGCCCGCTTGCAGGGACAGCCCCTGTTTCTCCAACCCGCTCCCAGGCGCCACGTGCGGGAGGAGGCTGCGGAATCTGCCTTTTTCAGGTATGGCAGAAATAAGACTGCTCAGACAGGGGACTTTCCAAGGCAATTCGGCTTGAACTTTAAACCTCTGCTGCTTTCACTTTCCAGAGCCACGCTGTGCTCCCAGGGGAGAGAGCAGCGCCCGGGGTCGCACCCCCCGCAGCCAGTCCCCGTGCCCCCAGGAATCCCCCCGGCCCCTCTGCCACAACCCACACCATGCTGCGCCGTCACGTGGGGACAAACGGGGCAGTCACCCAGGGGAGGTGGAAACCCCGGGCAGCCCTCTGCCGCCACCGGCACCTCACTCTTCCTGACTTGGGTGGCTTTGCAGCTCAACGACGCAGTGGAGCCACTCGGGGCTCAGCTGATGCTGAGCTGATGCCGAGCAAGTTTGGGCATCTATGCCGCGGAGGCGACCATCCCCACCCAGCCAGAGCTCAGGCTTTCACCTTGAAGCTGGGACATGCCTGCTTTGAAGGACTGCTTCCCCCCTGCCCTTCCTTCTCCACCCAGGCGCAGCCTCCTCCCGCGCTTTCATTTCTGCATTCATTCCCCCCTTTCCTCATTGCCAGCCCTCAACTTCCTGAAAGGGCTGCGAGAACCGTGAGGTACTCGGGGGAATCACGGCGAGGCCACTGGGCTGGGATGTGCCTACCAAGAGTGCGTGTGCATTGAGGCACTCTGCGCCACGGGCAGTGATGCCAACCAGCAATCGGGATTGTCTCCTGCTAACCTGGGAAACCTCCTACGCCCAGGAGACTTGAGGTGCAGGCATCGTGCCAATCTCCGCTTTCTTCCAGCCAAGGCGACAAGCACACCTTTCTCTCTGCCA